AATATTTCATCGATGTCGACATCTTTTCGGTTCCATTTTATTCCAGACATGATATAATTTATTGATTTCTCTTTATCATCTATCCCTTCAGGACCATGAGGATTGGCGTCCCAAATCTCTCTATTCGGTTCCTTAGGGTCTGCCGCGGCCATGTCTATGGTTTCCTTCACCTCGTTTCCTACTGCACCTTTCTTTGATTTTCGAGGATTTTTATCTTTGGAACCTATTGGTCTACCACGTTTCTTACGTGCGTTAGACTCTGTAGCAATTTCATTGATTCCCTTTTGGATATCAATACGTACTGGTGCATTACAAGCTGGTATGTACGATTTTGTAACTTTCTTTGGGTCAACAAAGGAATCTGGCAATTCATTAGCTAGCTTTTGCAAATTTATTATTTTCTGGACCTCTGATTCACATGCCAGAGTCCGAGGATCTTGCCAATTCAAGGATGTTTGATTCCATGATATTTCTTTAACCAGCTTGTTCGTCTCTCCACCTAAAGTAGGAAATTCGGATTCATTAAATTGACAATCCGCGTATCTAGCCTTAAATAGATCACCCGTAGTTGGCTCTAGATACTTAATAATGGTGGGAGAATCAAATCCAACATATATTCCCATCCTCCTTTGAGGTCCCATCTTTGTTCTATGTGGTGGAGCAATCGGTACATATACGGCACACCCGAAAGTCTTTAGATGGGATATGTCTGGCTCATGACCCATGAGTAATTGGGATGGTGAATATCTATGTTCACTAGATGGCCTTATGCGTATAAGCTCTGATGCATGTAAAACAGCGTGTCCCCAAGCGGCTACTGGGAGCTTCGACCTCATGAGTAACGGTCGAGCTATCAATTGAATTCGTTTAATGAAGGATTCCGCTAATCCATTCTGTGTATGTACATGTGCTACGGAATGTTCCACACTTACCCCCATGGACATACAGTAGTCATTAAATGCTTGGGACGTGAATTCACCGGCATTGTCTAGACGTATAGTCTTAAGCGGAAAATCTGGAAAGTGGGCTCGCAGTCTTATTATCTGGGCCAATAACCTAGCAAACGCTTGGTTTCTAGTAGATAGGAGACAAACATGCGACCATCTTGTCGATGCGTCAATGAGGACCATAAAGTATCTAAACGTCCCACATGGTGGGTGTATTGGTCCGCATATATCCCCTTGTATCCTTTCCAGAAAATTTAAGGTCTCTTTATTTACCTTAGCCGGTGATGGCCTTATCGTGAGTTTCCCTTGTGAACATGCTTCACACGTGAGATTCTTAGGGATAACTCTTTTCCCTTTTAGGGTGTGCCCCTTTGAATTAGTTATTAGTTTACGCATCATACAATGACCCGGATGGCCAAGCCGGTCATGCCATAAAGTGAATTTCTTGATGAACTCTTTGTTCATTGCCATATTAGCTTCGATCATATTGATTTTAGCATAGTAGAGACCAGTGGATAATGCGGGTATAGTCTCTAGGACTTTCTTATGTCCTTGGGTGATCTCAATTATATTTAGGAATTCTTTGTTCCCTTCACCCTTTGTTTCAATATGGAAACCATTTAATCTTATATCTTTGAAACTTAGTAAGCTCATCTTTGAGCTGGGTGAGTATAGGGCATCGCTTATTTCAAGATGCGTGCCCTTTGATAAAAGGATATGGGCTTGACCGTGGCCCTCAATGAGACTAGCTATACCCGCTATGGTGCTAATATTGGCATTTTTCAATGTTAGATTTATAAAGTATCTTTTGTCTTTTAAAATTGTGTGGCTCGATCCACTATCCACCACAAGTATATTCTTGTCATCGGCCATTTCTAATATTGACAAGAAAATATGTCTTAGATAATAAAGCAAACGATTATATTAAAAGCAAATTAAACTTAAATTTAAATCCAAGACATAATAGTATTCAAAAACATAGAATAGAATTCAAAGACATAGAGCATGAAAACATAAAGCAAATTAAAGCAAATTAAAACACAAGATGTCGAATTTAATTTTCCTCTCTTAAGCAATCCGAAGTCTCATACTCCAATTGGTCATCGTTCTCATGGTCGAAATCTCCATCACCATCGAGATGAGCCAAATTGGCTTCGGGATTCTTCTTTATCATTTCTTGATAAGCATCGATTAGATGTTTAGATGTCCTGCACGTCTTAGCCCAATGATTGTCCATTTCGCATCTATGGCAAACGGATTTGACCTTGTGTTGCGGTTTGAAAATTCCGCGGCCACGACCTCGACCATTGTTCCCACGGCCTCTACCACCATGGTGGTTTCCTCGGCCGTAGGAGTTATGGTTGCTGCGACCACCACCACGTCCTCTACCACGGCCACGACCGTGATACCCTCTATGGACGTAGTTGGTTTCTTTGGTCTCTCGAGGTTCTTTGGCTATTTCGGCCTTATGGGCTTCCGGCAACGGTGTGGATCCTGGAGGTCTCATCGAGCTATTCATTAGTAATAGCTCATTATTCTTTTCAGCAAGGAGTAAGCAGGAGATCAAACTTGCATATGTTTTGAATTTCATTCCACGGTATTGTTGCTGAAGTACCACGTTATTAGGGTGGAATGTTGAGTATGTTTTCTCAAGCAAGTTATTATCAGTCACCGTTTCACCACATAGCCTCAGGATTGAGACAATCTTAAAAAGCTCGGAGTTATACTCCTCCACGGATTTGAAATCCTGGATCCTGAGGTTTTTCCAATCATATTGGGCTCTCGGTAAGAGTACCGTCTTTTGGTGATCGTATCGATTCTTCAACTCGATCCAAAGATCGAGAGGATCCTCGATAGTAAGGTACTGATTCTTAAGGCTCTCTGCTAGGTGATGGCGTATAAACGCAATCGCCTTAAACTTCGACCTCTTCTCACACTCATTGTTTTCCATAATGCACTCGGCGAGATCTTTGGATTCAAGGGCTATCTTAATGTCCAATGCCCATTGTAAGTAGTTGTCGCCGGAAACGTTGAGTGCAGAAAACTCGAGGTTCTTTGTTTTCGACATCTACAAGCAAAAGAAGATTGAGTCAAAATCATGTAATCGTTAATGTCATGTGGTATTAAAAACCAAACATGAATCGATTTACTTAAGGATTTGACTTTCCTCATAGGGTTAAATTTCCTTTTCTAAATATTTCCTAATTAGGGTTTAGGGTTTTAAGGTTTCCTATTTTATTTGAGATTTTAGGGTTTTAGAATTTCCTATTTTATTTAAGATTTTAGGGTTGTTAAGATATTCTATTTTAACTAGGATTTTAGGGTTTTAAGATTTCCTATTATCCCTAAGATTTAGGGTTTTAAAGATTTCCTATTATCCCTAAGATTTAGGGTTTTAAAGATTTTCTAGATTTTAGGGTTTCCTATTTTATTTAGGATTTTAAGGATTTCCTAGATTTTAGGGTTTTAAAGATTTCTTTTAGGATTATCTTTTCTAGGTTTTCTAGGGTTCATGCAATTTTAGTTTTAGGGTGATAAGCATGTAAACAATCAAAGGAGCAAACAATCTAACAACCTAAAACAATCTCAATCAAGCCGTTTAAACATATGGAATTTTCGGATTAGGTTCGTTTTAGTTTTAGGTTTTTTTTTAGATCTTTAAAGTTTCGGATTAGCTTATGAATTTTCGTTTTTGTGATTTAAGGTTTATACAATAAAACTTCTCTAGCAACTTAGGCGAGTTTAGTTTAAGCAATAATCAACCTTTCTCTAGCAACCTAAACGATTCAAACAAACGGATCTTACAAGCAATAAGATTACTTTAAACATTCAAGGTTCGTTTTAGGTTTCCACCGTTCGTTAGATTCAAGTTCATGATCAGTTTTCACAAGCAAAAGCAATCACTTAAGCAATCAAGATTCGTTTTAGTTTTCCACCGTTTGTTAGGTTCAAATTCATGATCGGTTTTTCACAAGCAAAAGCAATCGTTTATACACTACAGATTCGTTTTTAGGTTTCCTCCGTTTGTTAGATTCAAATTCAAGATCGGTTCTTTAGCTTTTAGGGTTTTGGTTTTTACCTTTCACCTTTTTGGGGTTGTATGGATTGGAACCGGGAGCTAAAGACCTCGGTTATCAAGCTTATCACGAACGTGTGGTGTTAGGAGGAGATCGCCGATCAAGGAGCAAAGCGAGTAGTCGGCGGTTTGGTAGCTTCAAGCGGTGGACGAGCTCGGCGAGTTTAGGTTTAGGGTTTTTAGGGTTTTTTTGTTAAGAGCAACTCGTGCTGATAACGTGTTATAGAACTTGTTGTTCTTATTAGTATTAATGAATGGAGTTCGTTACATATTTATACATGATGAGGGGAGACAAATCCCCATTGGGCTAGTAAACCCTAAAGCCCAAAAGCCCATTAAGATAAATTAGACCATCATAAGGAGAATCATAAGAATATGGACATGGGCCTTCTAGAATATGGATTAGGCCCAACGGTTATGGAGTCCATCCGACCATGCGGTCTATAACAAAAATCTCTCTACACACATAAGCTCGTTTTAGCTTCCTCATCATCTATTCATCTGTCTCTTTGCACTCTAGAACACTTGCATCTATTGCTTTTTTTTTTCTGCACAACCTTAGTCATGACCTCCATTTCCAAACAAAGCATATCTGGATTAGAAGACAAAAACAGCAACAACACAATTGTTACGATTCATTATGAATAAACCATAAACAAAACCTAACAAACCAGGGTTTTCTATGTCACTGATAGAGTGATAGATAACCAAACGAGAAATCCACTAGGAAAACAACAGCCCAACTTATATCTCTATACTTAGCGATCGATCAAACACAGTCTCTAGGAAAAAAGAGAATCAAAACACATACGTATAGAAACGAAGCCATGTAAGAAATGTGAAAACAGAGCCAGTCTCGAAGAAATGATGTAAGAAATGTGAAAACAGAGTCTGTCTCGAAGAATAATCTAGGTAGAACGTAGATGAGAAAATAAGCCATACTTGTCTTTGTTAACTTTTTAAAAAGGAGCGAACAATAATATCAAAGACAATTTGTATTCATTTTACGGATTAAAGTTTGGGTTTGAAAAAGATGAAATCTGGCTTGGCATACTTCTTTGCAGCAAGTCATATGGTAATTGACTTATCAATTCAACAAAACCAAATTAGATTAAGGAACAAAAAAACCACAAGTGTTGCAATGATGGTCGTTTGCTTTTCTTGCACCTTGACTTGTATCTTACTCTACAGATTCAATCCTTTGTGCATCTTCTGACTTATATCCTCCTCCAAGTCAATAACTTGAGGCATATTGATCCTTTCTGCTGCTTTCAAGTCTTTCAGTTCTCGAGTCAATTCAGCAATCTGCTTCTGGATTTTTGCTCCTCCATCAGGTAGCCTTGAGACCGTATCCTATGAGATGAAAATATGAAACTCAAAACGGAGACTTCGAGATAATGCCTGAGAAGCTTTTCTGGATGTTACAATGAATTGGTGTCACTACCTTGTTTTGTAATAATATCGTCAAACGATTGAGTCTTGCTTTAATTTCGCTTTCCGACAATTCCTTGTCATCGATTGGGGAAATGTTGATTTTCTTGTCCAAATTCACATCCTTTGGCTTGAAAGCATAGTCAGCCCTGTCAAAAACAGTTTTTCAAATCGATGAGAGATTATAGAAAAAACACAACATAAATTTGACAAAAAGGCTGTTGGTGGTAATACCCATTGATGACGGTGTCTTGTGAAATACTTGCTGATGGGCGTCCCGAGAACAATGCTGTTTCTCTCCTTTTTAAGTTAGAGAACGAATCAGAAACTGGGATTTAAGATGAAGGAAAACTGTTTTATAACTAAAAAAGCTGGTTTGGAGACAAAGTCACCTTATTTCTTCTTCTTCATCTTTTTGTATCGCTTGGATAGGAGCTGTCTTGGAGAAAAGTAAGCTATGGTGGCTAACTCCAGCTATACCAAGGGTTTCAAGAAACTTTACATGGGATTCCAGTTTTTCATCTCTGTAGAAACAAACAAAGATAAGGGAATCGAAATAAACCATCATGACACAATTTTTGCTCAGAATTCAGTGTTTGCTTACAGTTTGATCTGGTTATAGTGCTCTTCATATAGTTGCTGTTGTGTAGGTGATACATCGAAGCCTCCCTTGGGAAGACTAAAAAGTTCTCGAAGGTCCTAAGAGAGATATCATTTGGTATAAACATTTAGAAACGAATAGAAGAAAAGCTAGACTGCCATTTACAGCAGAATTGAAATTGGACCTGCTGGCTGAAGTAGCGGATTTGTTCTTTATGCTCAGTTGCAGTTTTAAACAATCCTCCCTTGTATACCTAAAATGCATATACCAACGGCATTATATCATACAAATGATCATATATATCAAAATCACTCACCTATGACACTAACCGAGGAGCAAAAATATGTCACAGACCTGCTTTCTGTATATCTTTTCTTCAACAGTTGCTGAGGTCATTAACCTATACACGATGACATCCTTCGTCTGCCCAATTCTATATGCTCGATCAACACTCTGGTTGTCCGTGCTGCATAGATATCAGAGAATCTTGTCACAAAAGTATTTTCAAGAGACCAGAAATATTGACAGCTTCCAAACACTAGTTTTAGACTACATCAAGTTTCACAAGCAAGGGGTAACGCATAGAAATGAAAGCACACAAGTTTTGCATCATATTCAATTAATATCCTGTAAGAGATCCGGCAATAAACATATAAATTAAAACAAGAAACAAAATTGTGCTGCTTCAATTTGGATATTGATATTTAACAAGCTAGAGATGTGGAATTCTGATAGACGAGTTAATAACAATATATTAACAAAAAGTTTAGACTTAGGCTTTTAAAAGTATAGTACTCGGAAGTTTAAGTACCTTGGATTCCAGGCAGGGTCCACCACAATCACACGGTCTGCCTTAGTCAGAGTAAGGCCAAGACCACCAACTTGAGATGTCAAGAGAAATATAGGAGCCACATGACCTTCTTGAAATTCCTAGAGAATAATATTGTTTTATTGAACTGTTAGCAGGAAGACTAGAGAAAATAACGAACTCAGGAAAAGTTGAAAAGGTAATGTGTTTGGGAAGAGAAAAACCCACTTCAACAGTCTTCAATCTGTCAGGGGCTTTTGTTGTACCATCAATTCGCAAGAAACTATAACCGTTGGAGGTAAGAGAATCCTGAAAATTCCAAGCGTAACATATAAAGAATCCTTCAAATTTCAGAAAAACCGTTGGAGGGTAAAGTTAGTAGCAAAACCTGAATGAGATTAAGCATCTTGCGTGTCTGGGAGAAGATTAGAACACGGTGCCCCTCTGGAATTAAATTGTCCTGAGTAACAATGTAGAAAGGATGTCAGTCAAACAGACAACGATCAAAATTAATGTCATTAATTGAACCATAAATGTGATCTAACCAGTAGCGACATGATAAATGACAATTTGCAAGAGATACTGTCATTCTTGGTCTGAAAATCATCTGTATCCACATTGTCCGCTATATGCATAGCCAATCTCTCAGCCACGCCTGCTTCTTCTGGTGTTAATGTTGAATCCATTCCTTCGAGGACATCCTCAGCAGCCCTCTTAGTTAAGAGAAGCGGGTGGTCACATATTTTCTTCAGTATCTGTTACATAACAAACAACGACTGTAAGCTGCCAGATATGAACAGACAAGATTTTGAACAGGAAATATATGCTTGAAGTGTTTATAAACAGAGTGGAAAGGAAGCCGCCTTCCCATGTAACATATATCCTAAAGAGAATCAGGCAAAGTGTATAGAGATCTGAAGCTGAGTCTACATTTATTTAACGAATTAACTGGATAAGAGAACACATGGACACATCAAACAAACAAAAAGACAAGAAGAGAGCTTCATGTTACCGTTAGAGCTGCTAGAGGTGAACCATCAAAAGCTGACAGAACAATTTCACTGTTTAAGAAAGCTTCATATAATTGCCTCTGCAACAAAGAGATAAGTATCAGTAATTCCAAAAGACTGTGAATATTAGATCAACTACTGTAGTTATGTGTTTAAGGGTTGCACCTGGCAAGCTGTTAACCGTAACCATACAACAATTTCGTCCTTCTTTGAAAGTTTGGAGGTTGCACCATCATCACCGAAGACTTCACTCTTAAGGCGCCGCAAGAAGAAAGGTTGAATATGCTCCCTCAAGTTCTATCAATCAAAAGGAGGAAACAAAGAAATTTTTACTTGTAAGATCTGCAGCCTACAGACTGTAGCAACATATGTCACAAGCGAATTGATAGATTTTTTCTTCCTAGGTGCAACTAAGCTTGCGTACGCATAACTTAACTGTAGTACGGCTATATCGAAAACAGTTTGCAATCTCATAAGATGCATCCCAGACTGTAAGCATGATGCTTGATAATCTATATTTTCATTTCTTGCTATATTTATGATCAATAGTAATCATAGAATAGAGCTAGATTCAAGAAGACATGCCAAGATAAGAGGAAGAAATTTCAAAACCTAATAAAAACTTCTTTCAGCTACAGTACGAAATAATACACACTCAAGCATATTCAAATCGAATCCTCACCTTTGCTACTGTTGAGCCTATCCTCTGTTCTCTATCAGTAGCATTTTTGTCAGTTCCACGAAGAATGTAATGCTCATAATTCTGCTTAAACCTGTTAAAGATTAAAGCCTTAGTAATACAGAGCTGGTAAATGTACTCTGGCAAAATTGTAGGGATGAGATGTTTACCAATTCTTGTCACCGAGTAGCCCAGGGCAGCTGAAGTTGAAGAGAGCCCACAGTTCCTGTAAATATGAATATGGAATCAATAAGCAGCATTAGAATTGCAAGAGACTTTAATAAATGAAAAGCTATTGACCAGCGTTAAATACTATAGACAATACCTTGAGATTGTTCTGGATTGGTGTACCACTTATTATAATACGGTGAGAACTTGGGATCTCAAGCAAACTCTTGGCCCTTTGTGTGTTGGGGTTCTTAATAAGATGTCCCTAGAAGTGTTAGCGGAAATACATCATATTGATATCAGTAGGGAAAAAAATCAGAACCTACACTAATGGTAACATCTCAGCGCTTGATGGATCAAAGTGCATACACATTATACCAACTATTAGTGCAGAGGCCTCACAAATGATAAAATATTGTTATGTGTTTACCTCGTCCAGAATCATGTAGTCCCATTTGATTCCATCTTCATCATCCTCATCAGTATAATGGTCGTCACCTTGCAAAGCCTTTGTATTGTTCCGCACAATATCATAGGTTGTTAGAAGGACACCTTTACCCTACAAAAGTTAGAGATATCCAAGTTGGAAATACATACCATTTTTCAAAAACAATCAGAATTGAACTCTGGAAAATTGATAAATTATTTATCAGTTTAATCAATCTAAGCAATATTAAAATATGCTTTTATACTGATAATGATAATTTACTAGAGGAAGGGTAACAGTGTCAAAAATCAAGTGAAAACGTAAATGAAATGCAATTGCATAGTTATGTATCCGTGAGATTTCTCAGGATAACAATGGAAGAAAGAACATGAACCTGCAGAATGTGGTGGAGATCATATTCCCGGGCTTTCGTAGAAGTACCGTAGTATCTGTAAAAAGAAAAGAAAGACAATCAGTATCAGTACTTTTAACACCAGTTCAGTATATAGCAATCAAAGAAAGTCGCTCTTACTCCCTAGTCATTTTTGAAAGTCCCACGGTAGCTAATTCTTTCATCCAGTGAGGCAGCAAGGTTTTTGGGGCCACTACCAGAGCACGCTTGATCAATTTGGAGTGGAACAAACCAGCAAGAAAACTACAAATCTGCAATGCAAATCAACCGAAATCAAAGATACATTATTGATAACGAATAATAAAAGTGCAGGTTGCAGATTTCCTTACCTGCATAGTTTTACCTAAACCCATATCATCTCCAAGTATTCCACCTTTCCCTTGGGTATGCAATGACCAAAGCCACTTCAACCCATCCCTCTGATGTGGATATAACATTGTTGCAATCTTTCCAGGTAATGTGTAAGACAATTTGAGGCCAGTTAAAGTGATAGACCCTTCATCCTCCAACGATCTCTCATCATAACCATGTCTTTCGGTATTGTAAGACCGAGCTGGCTTTTTAGGCTTTTCATGATGAATTTTCATTTCAGCCGCCTTTTTCCCGGACAAAATGACACAGTCATCATCATCATCCTTGTCTAAGTCTCTTAGCTTGGCGGCATTAGACCTTCCGACTGTTCTTAGCTTCTCACTTACCTCTATGTGTCTAGTCGTCTTCAGACTTTGGCCCACTTCCTTGCGTTGGCCCTTCCCACGGTCAAGATTGTATCCCTGCTTATTATCTTCAGAGATATCGTCAAAGTGCTGACCAGAAAATGAGTTTTTCTTTCCAACATTCGAAATTCTTTCTTCCCATTCCCTTAAAAACTCCTTACTAGTTTTCTCTTCCTTGCGTTGGCTCTTCCCACGGTCAAGATTGTATCCCTGCCTATTATATTCAGAGTTATCATCAAAGTGCCGACCAGAATATGAGTTTTGCTTTCCAACATCCGAAATTCTTTCTTCCAATTCCCTTGAAAACTCATTACTAGTTTTCTCTTCCCGGATGGCAAAACCAGCGTTGCCTTGCTTGTCCTTGAGACTATTAACGCCAGCACTACATGTGGTTCCCACATCTAGTGAGGACTGAGATAGATCCGATATCAAGGAAAATGAGGATTTGGCATCCTCGAAATCAAATTTATCAACCCGGCTCTTCACTCCACCACCATCAAAATCATTGCTTTGGTTATCTTTCTTCTTCTGAATCGACATTGTCCCAAGCTTAGAGGTCAAATCATCCAAAATATCCATGATCTCATTCCTTCCTCCATCACCTTGCATTTCCTCGTTTTGCTTCAACTGAGGTGAGGGCGAGCTAAAGTCTGTGATTATCGAAAAGTTAGGCTCGCCAGCCAACTCTGTGTTAGCTTCCTTTGATTGATCCCAAGATGTGAATTTGTTCCCAGCTCCAGCGCTCTCTACTGATGTATCTCCTTTAACTGATTCGAGCATCATGCAAAAACAAACGCAGTATAGTAAGAACGAAAATCAAACAACAGACTAAAACCCAGATTTCGAAAAAAACCCTAAATTCAAAGTAAGCTACTAGGACAAAATTAAAATACATCATCAACGGAAATACTCAATTCTTTATGTAAAACGAAGAGAAATAGGTTTGCGAAAACCCTAAAATCGGGTGAAATCTCAAAATTACCTGGGGAATCGAAATCAACCAAATCAGGATCGTCGTATCCATCGTCAACGTCTTCCTTTGGCAAGGCCTTGCAAAGACGACGTCGTCCAGCAAGCTTAATCATGGACTTCTTCGTCTCGTCATCTTCTCCATCTGGAACCCCAAAAAAAAAAAAAAAAAAAAACTCAAAATCAAAGACAGATACGAATCCGAAACCATAGACAAACAATAGAAGAGAACAATCGTACGGGAAGAAGAGGGAGGCTGTTTAGGAGGCGCAGAAAGATCCTGGAGGATACTGTAGTGTCGATCGTTCAAGCTCTGAGGTTTTCTTCTATGGCTGGCCGTATTTTCCGCCATTGTTACACTGTTTTCTGGAGATGAGTTTGTGATTCGCGAGGATCGGTTGTAATAAATGTAGAGAAGACTGAGAGAAGAAGAAGATGAAGAGAATGTTTGGAATCCCGCCTTCCTTGGCTTTTTTTGAAATTTGAAGATTTCTCAGTTCCGATACAAATGGCTCTTGTGCACTCTCTCTCTCATTTAACCTAAAATATTTATTTTGTTTCTTTTTTTTTTGTCAACAAAATACGATTTTATTTCTTTATTTGTCAAATATAATATTGTTTGAAATTTTTATCTTGTCGTGTCACATCATTTCCATTTTTTTGCGTTGTTACAAGAAAAAGGAAATTTGGTCTGAATTGTTTATACGCTCGCTAGCTGGTAACAAGAACATCCGCTGTGGGTACAAGTAATAATAACTTGTACAAAACCTACGTCCAAGCTCAAAGAGAGACTTCCCGTGGTGGAACCAAAAATGACGGTTTTAAGTGGATAAGTTGCATACAATTCATGTGGTGAATTCCTATATGGAGTAGATATGAGGCGGTTCCGCATTGCTCTATCCATATACATGAACTCATATGATTTTAAGATGCTCGACATGTTCTAATTGTGCTTCCGTCGACATTAACCAAGTTCCATTATGAATTGCGGCATCAGTCTTAGCTTTCAAGTGTACCATCACTTGTTTTTTTTTTTTTTGAATGAATGTTAAATTATATTCATCAAAAAACCGTTTGGTACATCAAGTGCAACGTTTCGAAAAGAGAGAGACGTTCTATATGTTACAAAAATTAACTAGGTCGAAACCCGCGCTACGCTGCGGGTATTTTTTTTAAATTTATTTTATTTAAACAATCAAAACTAAAGCAATATTATTACATTAAAAAAAACAGCATCTATTAACAACAAACTAAAAAAAGAAACGATATGTTTAAAATAAATAGTATAATTACAATTTTGTTTACTTGTCTAAGAGCTTGAAGACAAACTCTTTATCTTTGTTCTATTATGAGAAATACAAATAAGATTGTCCACATAAATCCATGATATAAGATAACATAAAGAACATACAAACATAATAAAAAATTTTACATTGATTTTACTATTGGAATCAATTAGTTTGTCGACCACAAGAGACATCAATCTTTCTTGAAAAAATTATTAGACAAAGCTAACTTAACAAAAATTACGAAAATTTCATGAAAATATAGAAATCGAAAAAGATGGACCAAACTTTGTTATGGGTTTTTAAAATGAATAAGCTAAACAATTCATAAACATTGGTTATATAATTCGGTTCGTGACTTAAAATTAGAATATTCAAAGGTAAACAGTTACAGAATGACGATCCAATGTTCTTAGCATTTTAAGGGAATCTCAACTTTCTCTTAACTTATATTTACCATTAAATATTCTTGGAATATAGTAGATCAAGCGTTTGAGCCGGCGTGAGATCACCTTCATTCAAAACATAAACAACAGATACAGAGTTAATTCTCAACTTTTTGCTATGCTGAATTATATATTCTTATAAAATAGATCACTAATAATAACCAAATTAATCAATAACATTTGTGACATTTCAGCCAAAATTTACAAACAACAAAAATAGCATAAATCCAAAATAAACCAAATTGCTAAACTTCACTTGGCTACACATCCCTATGGTTAGATCATAGAATAATTTGACGATTTTTCTCTTAAGGGATTTCAATTTTGAACAGAAACTAACAAAACTTTGCGCTTTATATGCAGATGATCAAGTGAAGCAAGATATATGTATAAGAGGAACATAGAGATTCAAGTTTGACCATACATCTTGAAGTAACAAGACGGGATAATAGAACAAGTGTGAGATTACAATCCTAAGAGTGTAATGTTCTTTACTGCTGTGAATTTCTTAAATTGAAAAAAAAAACGTAAACCAATTTAGCAATTATAAACTCTTATGAGTAAACTACGATTCTAATTGTGCTTGTGTACCACAAATAATTTTAAGAGAAATAATCTAAGGTTTTTGGAGTATAATATTCACTGAAACATATTTACATATATCACAATATAAAAACAAATCTAACATTTGTAAAAAGTTAAACATATACAAAAACATAAAATAATAACAAACAAATACAAATATTAACTACACGGTACATATTTTCGTAAAAGTAAGATATAAAAATTATTTATTAGTGTATACATATATAACCTAATAAAATAAAAATAATTAAAATACGAGCAAATGTAAAATAATATCTGAAGAACCTATTACATTTTTACCGTAAAAACTTATATTAAAACAAAATTAATTTATAAAAGCAACACGCTGCGTAAACTACTTGTTAAATTCACTTCATGCATGTTGTTCTCTAAAAATAATTTGATGTCAAATAACTTAAAAAAAATAAAGAGGATAGTTATTTTTTTGTTTTTGTATATATTGAATTATTAAACAAATTAGAAATTTATTAATCATTATCAATAAATTTAAAATCATTATGTGTATGATTGTATCAATTTGATTGGTTGTCTTTTTTAAATAATGTGTTTTTTTTTTTCTATAAAAAGCTGATGTGGCATGTTGGAAATCTGATGTGGCAAACTGGAGAGGTGATGTGTATTAATTGAAATGTTTTTATTTGATGATGATTTTAATGAGGTGTCAGCTTCAGAAGAGCCCAAAATGCTGATGTGTCAGGCCTGGAGAGATTCTTAATGTTATTATTATATTGATTTCGAGATGAAAACCAAAGTATGAGCAGTTTCTCATATTTTTGATTCCCCGAGTTGCGAAGAAGAGTAACTCTGTTGCGGATTGTTTTGTCAATGATCTTCTCTAGCTGGTGGGCTGTCCGTGAATTTTCTCCATGTCGACGATTGTTTCTTTCTCTCCAAATTGTGTATATGGTGGTTTGAAGTGCATACGTCGTGAGTAAAAGCGGTTCTGGCTCTAGTGTTGTTCCCGCAATGATTGTAGAGAATTGTCTTGTCTTGTCTTGCTCATGAAATACTAAAATAATTAAAGAGAGGTCGAAGAGTAGTCCATGATTCAAAAACTACAGCAATGAACGATTCTATTTGTCTCTTTTGATATACAATTATTCGTGTTTCATTTTGCAATCAAACCTCATAGAAGCACTTAAACATTTTTGATCATCCGATAATAATTTATTCTATTAAATATTTAAATTCAAAACAATTACAACCACCATAAAAAGTTCGAAACGATTTCGTTAATAATAGCATTGTCTAGGGACTTAAAGAAAAGTTTCCTAAAAATCTTCACATTGACCTCTCTCTCTAATAGCAAAACCCTTAAAACTGGCGGGAATCGCAGTGGTGTAGTCTCACTTTCTACTTCTCTCAGACCTCCACGAGCTCACAAAATCACACATTGTCTTCTTTTCCCGCTCGCCCAAAGCCATGAATAGAGCCGGTAATTCCAAAAAGCGACCGCCTCCTTCGAATACCCCACCGGCGGTGAAGCATCGAGCCACTGGTAATTCAACACCATCTCCGGCAATCGGAACCCTAGATGATGAATTTATGGTGGACGAGGACGTGTTTCTCGACGAAGCTCTCTTGTACGGCGACGAAGATGAGGAATCCCTAATTCTCCGGGACATTGAGGAGCGTGAATCGCGTTCGTCGGCTTGGGCTCGACCTCCGCTCTCACCCGCTTATCTCTCGAATTCCCAGAGTATCAGTTGAGTACTATCTTAATTTGTCTAGGGTTTCTTAATCTTATGATTGCTGGAAATTTCTCAACACTTTGATTTGTGTTTTTGATAATGTTAGTTTTCCAACAATTGGAGATTGACTCTATAATTTCGGAGAGTCATAAGGAGCTGTTACCGGGTTCCTCAGGGCAAGCTCCAATCATTAGGATGTTTGGGGTTACCAGAGAAGGTGAGTGTTTTTAATTCCTTTTTTTTGCTCTTCGTTGAAAAGACACTGACATGGGGAACGATTTCGTTGGATTTGAGCTTACATTTCTGGTTTATTGTCAGGTAACAGTGTGTGTTGCTTTGTTCATGGATTCGAGCCCTACTTTTACATTGCTTGCCCTCCTGGAATGGGGCCAGACGATATTTCTAAGTTCCATCAGATTCTTGAGGTATTTATTATGTAGGCTAAATAGATCTCTGAGAATTCTGTACTTTGATCTCCCTGGTTTTGTTTAAAGCTCATCTGACTCATTCAGGGAAGGATGAGGGAATCCAATAAAAATGCCAAGGTCCCGAAATTTGTTCGGCGTATCGAAATGGTGCAAAAAAGAAGTATTATGTATTACCAACAGCAAGAATCACAAACTTTTCTGAAGATTACAGTTGCATTGCCGACTATGGTGGCAAGTTGTCGCGGTATGACTCCCAAATGTTTGTGCTTTATGGCTTTACTATCTCCTTTGCTGATGTTGTCATTGCAATTTATTAAATTGGTAGGCATCCTTGATAGAGGCTTACAAATTGATGGATTTGGTATGAAGAGCTTCCAAACATATGAGAGCAATATTATTTTCGTTCTCCGTTTCATGGTTGACTGCGATATTGTCGGAGGAAATTGGATTGAAGTACCTACTGGGAAATATAAGAAGAATGCAAGAACTTTGTCATACTGCCAATTGGAGTTCCATTGCCTGTATCCTCATCTACATTTCTTTTCTGGGGCAAGAATATGTTTATATAGTAACATATTTTGTTTTATGTCATTGCTTTCCTTAACATGGGTTTTAGGTACTCAGATCTAATCAGTCATGCTGCAGAAGGTGAATACTCAAAAATGGCTCCATTCCGTGTACTAAGTTTCGATATTGAGTGCGCAGGTCGTAAAGGGCACTTTCCGGAGGCTAAGCATGATCCTGTAATCCAGGTTAGCTGTTTTTGTCATATTTTGATATACCTATTTGTTACCTTTGTTTGCAATCCTCTTGAAACAACATTCTCATTGCTTTTCTAGATAGCGAACCTTGTTACTCTTCAGGGAGAGGATCACCCATTTGTACGCAATGTCATGACTCTTAAGTCATGTGCTCCAATCGTAGGCGTAGATGTCATGTCTTTTGAAACAGAAAGAGAGGTCTTACTAGCTTGGAGGGTATTGTTTTTACATCCTCTTGTCCTTCCTTATTATATATGCATTACTTCTTTTTCATCTGTTTTTTGGCACCTTGCTTGCAAAAGTAAGTTCTATTACAGTTCATAA